GGCAAAGTATTTTCTAGAAGAATCCCTATACCCCAGAAAGCACGCCTTGGTTATTTCTGAGCTTGGCTTGGCTGGGGAGGCACACAGCTCTGTGCCTTGTCAAAGCAAGTGTGATGGTGCCTCTGTGTAAGTTACTTAGAGGACTTTGAATCATAAGTCATCTCCCTTTCTACCCTTTGCTGTGTGAATGGAGCAGCTTGAACTCCATACAGAAGGGATCCCACCATTGTTTTCATTCGGCTGTTGGAGAGCAGAGTGGGTGTCCGTGCCCTGAATATCTTCAGAAAGGATCAGTTGCCGCATAACCATCTGTGAGCATAAGTCAGAGGGGAATTCTGGGGGGACCTCAGGAGTGCAAATGGGGGTTTTATATCTTGATTTAGGTGTGCCTTTCCTTCTAGCCTGGATGTATGAGTGTAGCCACAAACATCCAAACGTGATTTTTAAAGAATTTGTGAGGGGAGAAGTAAAAACTCAACCTGCTTAGCTCAGATCTGTTGCAATGCTTTGCATAATAATTAATGCGGCACAAGCTGTTGCCTAATGGACAGTTTTACTGCCTGTGCCCTTCAGTTCTGACTTGATGGAGTTCTCTGTGATTTAAGCCAGTACCTGTTTCCTTTACATGTCTTGGCTTTTGGGTAAAGTTGCGGTAGTTACTGTTGCCTTTCCTTGGTGTTTTTTCTTTTTTTCTTTTGATAGCTCATTGGTGAAACCCATAGTCTTCATTAGGTGCCTGCGTCTTTATCCTTGCTTTTAACTGGAATATTTAAAAGGAGAAAAATCTAAAAAAAAAAAAAAAAATCCCAACATCTCAAGGGGCTTGGCAATGAGCAATTGCCAGGAATAAATGATGATGAAAAGAACGATCATTTCCTCTCTGCCAGGAATTGTTTGAATACTCTATGTATGTTATTTAATTCTTACTACCTCTCTAAAATAGGTTCTGTTATTTCCCCCATTTTACAGATGACAGCTGCAAAATGAGGCACAGAGAGGTTAAATAATTTGTCTCCAGTCACATCACCAACTGAGAAGTTGAATTGTAATAATGGTGAAAGCTCATAATTTCCTCAGAGAAAGATGCTGTTATTTCCGTGTTTGTAAGGTGGTAACTGAGGTTCAGGGAGTTGTTAGGGGCATATCTATGACTGTCTTGTGAGGCCAGATTTAGTATAGATTGTTTCTATTTTGATCCCTCTGTAGGTTCTGAGTTCTGTTTAGTTGAATGCTTATAAACCCCTGGTTTCTAGGTCCTATTCCATGCACTCTGTATACAGGAATGATGTGATTTTGTTGTTGTTTTGTGTTCTCATGTAGATTAGTCCCAGTCTTTTGGCTACTGCAGTTACTCACATGGAAGCTATTCAAGCTTGATACTAAATATTTATTGTTCAATAAAATGTGGTGTAAGCCATATCATTGAATAAACAATTTTATTATGAAAATGTATGGGTTTTTGTTGGTTCAGTGATGGGCTCATGTCTTACACGAGCCTTATTATCTTTTTTTAAAGATTTATTTATTTTTATTGGAAAGTCAGATATACAGAGAGGAGAAGAGACAGAGAGGAAAATCTTATATTCATTGAATCACTACTCAAGTGGCCGCAACAGCTGGAGCTGCACTGATCCGAAGCCAGGAACCAGGATCCTCCTCCAGGGCTCCCACGTGGGTACATGATCCTAAGGCTTTGGGCCATCTTTGACTGCTTTCTCAGGGCACAAGCAGAGAGCTGGATGGGAAGCGTGCCCTCTGGGACACGAACTGGCGCCCATTTGGGATCCTGGTGCAAGCAAGATGAGGACTTTAGCCACTAGGCTACTGCAAAGAAGCTGAACACATCTTTTAATAGGATGTCACTCTTGGCTTTATGACTCACTTTTATGATTGTGGTTGTAAGACTAAAAAAATCAAGAATTCCACTGTTGAGCTGGCTTCTGAGAAATAAGTTTTGTAATGAAAAAAAATCATCCAACTGAACATCAGGACATGTGAGTTGTGATTCTAGCATTTATAAATATTATTAACCCTATGAACATTGCTGATGTGTCCCTTTTGTCATATACAAACTAGATGATTAGACTAAGTGATAAGATCACTTAGAGAATCCTATCATTCATGAAAAACTCATGTCCTGACTAGTCCTTTTGGCCATTCTGTGAGATTCATTTTCGACTATGAGTAATTATCTTAATTGTGAGTCTTGGTTTTCTGGTGTTCCAAGTGGATTGGATAGTTCCTTGCATACCTAATTTATAGGATTTCCATGAACATTCCATCAGATTCTGGAAATCTGAGTGCTTTGAACAACATATTGCGTGAGCATAGGATGATGATATCCGTATTGAAAGCTAAGAGAAAGGTTTTAAGTTTCTCGCTGCCTGTCCCAATTTCCCCTTCAATAAAAAGATTCAAGTTTAAAAGGAGTTTGATTCCAGTCGGGTGTTTCCTGGAGGGTATGGAAGTCCTTGGAACTCCAAAGGGTCAATGGGGGGCTTTGTGCTGCTGTGGGTCAGTTTCCCCCAGTTGTGGTAAGGCCACCACGCTTTCTCCTGACAACATTTTATCAAATACACTCACCACACAAAATGCAGTAATTCGTTACAAAAGTGAGGTTTTGCGTTACACTAACCTCTGCTTTGTTAAAAGCCCCCTCAGAATCTGAGATCTTCCCCACAGGCCGGCGGATTAGGCACGTGTTCCTGTTTGACCGTTAATAAGCGCCTCATGCATTCAGCCTGAGTAATCATACCCCACTCTCCCAACTTGTATTGCATCTAACTGGGTCTCTCAGTGAGGATATTTTGAACTCTCCCCTTCTAACTCTTAGTTCCTTTAAGGAAGTGTGGTCGGACACTTGGCTTCTATCTAGGAAATTTTTTTTTAAAGAATTCTTACGTGTTCCCAATGCGTAGGGCTATTTTTCCTCCAAAGAACTGGCCCTTCAGAGTGCCTTTGCCGCATACAGGCTGCGTGAGGCCCCAGGCACCAGTTGACGGCGCGTCTTCCCCCACAACAGATGGTCAAGCTTTCAGTTTCATCAAGAGATCCTGAGCTGTGGGGGTGGTGGGAGAGCCTGCCAGCAGGCCACGTGATGAGGCGGCTTAGGGTAACTAGGATCCGGTGTGTGCTCGGCGTGGCTTCTGTACTAACGATGGGCTGCTGACAGCCTCTCGCCCCTGGCTCATCTTTGAGGCAGAAGATCCCCTGCTCCCTGGATTCTGTTTCTGTCTGGCAGAGCTAGCGTCCTGTTTGCCTGTCTTTCAAAATCCATTTGGCACCAGATGGACCCCCTCATGGAGGCTAGCAGTTGTCTGACTTGAAGATGCCAGAGGGTGTGCTGACAGCTCGTTCTAACACAACCTAACTCTGGCTTTCAGGCCTGGGCTCAAATGGCTTAAACACACGTGAATGTTATCAACTCTGGGGAGCCAGGCAAGAGGTTCGGTGCACGAGGGTCCGTGCACGAGATTCCGTGCAGGGAGTATATCAGCCTCCATGCTAGTCGCATTGCCCTGGTGGAAATAGTGTCCTCTTGGTAGGACGGTTACTCTTATTTGCTCTTCTGAGTACTGTTGCTGCTGTAGTACAAATGCTATCAGTGGGACAGCCAGCGTTACTGCCATTCCTGCACTGCTTCTGTTTTTACGGAAACTGCTACATCTTTGTGGGTAAGAGCGTGGTCCCTGAAACTGCACTGACTGCGTTTAGATTGTAAATTCCCATTACTTTTGGGCAAGCTGTTTAAATTCAGTGACTGTAAAAACGGATGGATGATAGAAGTTATTTAGCAGGATTAACTGGGAAAGTGTCTTCGAAGTGTTTACCTTGGAGCCAGCACCATTTGAACCTACAGAAACCATTGTTACGACAGGATTATCTCAGAAGTTCTATGGTTTCAAAAAGGTGCTTTTCATAGCCATGTGTATGTGGAGAGTAGGTGGTCAACAGAAATGACCTAATGTGATACCTTTAATATCTGCTGCATCTCCATGGTACAGTTTAATATCTGCAATGGTTCTGTAAGAAATAAAACTGCTAGTGGAATTGTGTGTGTTCTTAGCCATATCAAGGTGTTTTTTAGAGTTAAAGTAGGTGCTATTAAACCTTAAACCAGTGCAGCTGGTACAAACTGGGGTTTTTCTTGACAAATTGGAATCTTAGCTCACATTAACGAAGAAAGTCATGGTCTCTATACAACGAATTCAGAAACCAAGGTGGAAATGAGGCAGGAAGATCCTTATTCATTCACAGTAACTTTTGTCTACAACAGCAAGTCTAAGAAAAACATTCAGAGGATATTTGAGAAATTGAAGGAATTTAGTACGATGGTACTTGAACAAGTTCACAGAAAGTGAACTAAAAAGAGAAGCTTATTTTGGTGCTAAAAACTGAACTAATGTTTTCTTGTATGCCTTCTGTTGAACCTCTTGTTCGTCCCTGTAGGCATGGAATTTAGGGTTTTGGTTTTTTTTTTTTTGCGCGAAAGGAAGTATTTTAATTTCATTTTTTCAAAAACTTTTTGGAGTTTCTTGGTGTGTGAAACTTACCTATTTCTCATGTGATGCTGGTGGCAAGAGCGTATCGTTTGGAGATACTGAGGTGAAGTCTTTATTTCGCTCATAGAGCCAAAAGTGTACATTTTTCTAGTTCATTGCCTGTGAACTCATAGGGCTTATTACATGTTATTTTGGGGGGTTCATGAGAATTTTCAGATAATAATATCCAATTGGAACATATTTAAACTTAGGGTTAAGACTTCCCACTGTTGAGTGAAATATGTCCTTAGGGGCTTAGGTCTGTTGGCAGTGCTATGAGTATTCATAAAGAGGGTTTGACTTGAATACAGAACAGTCTACAACTTTAAATGCTGGCTGTAACACTGTTCTGAATATTTCAGAAAACGGTAAGAGAATGGGATGCATATCCAGAACTGACTCCCTAGTATGATCCTGTGTCAATGGAAAGGCTAACCACAGTCATTTGTTTCTTCACAGGTTCTTCTTGAAATTTTTCCTCAAGTGTAACCAAAATTGCCTAAAGAATGCAGGAAACCCACGTGACATGCGGAGATTCCAGGTAGGTTGGTTGTCTCTCTTAAGTTTCAGTAATGACATCAGTATCAGAAGAGGGTACAAAGTCTTAGGCGGTGGGAGATAGAGTATGGTGATTTCCCTAGAGGTGAAGAGCAGGTGCAGCTTTTGGTCCCCCAGGTGTGTGCAATCTACAAGTTGTTTTTCCTGGAGGAGACTTGGGATTTCACCACCTGTGCTCCCTCGTTAAGGCAGTGAAATCCTTTGAGTCTAGTTTTACTTCCTGACCGGACTCATGTTCCTCCCCGACATCGATTATGTGACGTAAGTAGAAATGATGAATTCTTTGACTAAATTTAGTTTACAAAAACAATATCAGTAAGAGCAAAATTGGGAAAACCGCTCTTATGTTCTCTTTTTCTTTCCTTATTCTCTATTCTTCTTTTCCAATCTTGGAAATTGTGAACAGTAACTGCCCATAATCGATGGATTTCTTAATAAGGAAAATGCTTAGAGAGGTGTGAGTGGTACTCAGTTCTCTTCCAGAAATATCCTTGTACAGCACAAGTAAATACACTCAAGCATCAGTCAGAACTGCCACCATGCAAACATGAGTGGTTGCTAACCTCACAGAGTTATACCTTTACAAAGGCAAGAAGGCTTAAAAACAAATATGTTAACTTCTAAGACTCCAAAATGTACTTGGATGTTAGTAAAGGTTGCTGAGTTCTAGACATATGCCTCTCCAACTTAAGAGGCTGAGAATTCCCAGGAGATCTTGTTAACATACTGATTGAGGTCTGGGGTGGGACTGGAATTCTACATTTCTAACAAGCTACCAGGTGTTGCCAAAACCATGGACCACACTTTGAGCAGCGACGCCCCAGATCCTTGGGTTGCTATCCATCTAATTTTACAACTAACCTGTTTGCAGGTCAATTTTGTGTTTTAAGTATGCTTGAAAGTATATTTAGCTAGCTTTAAGTGTAGGTTGCAGTGTATGACTTCTAAGAGGTTCTGGAAAAAATTTCGGCTGTACCTTCTCTGAGGAAGACAGGAAGAGATAGTTTTGAGTATTAACCTTCAATGTCTTCATCTTTTGTTCTTCAAAATGATATTTTTTTTTCTAAAAAAAGGGTGAGATTTTAGTAGTCTTAATAAGAATAAATTCAATATGAAGAAGGCATTGTTTCCTGAGTTTTTCTGAGGTATTTATATAAAATTCTTCGTGGTTTTGCTATCTTTTGTCTTGGCAGAGATGCGTAGGGGGAAAACTGTAGATTTCTAGTTTCTCAGAGCATGATTTTGTTACCAGATTCTGACCTCATGTGGGTAAACTTGGGTCTTCTTATTCTAAACAAGATTTTTTAAATGTATATTTGGAGTCATCAGCTTCACAATTAAGCTGATGAAATCACACATGTGACGCTACTAAATGTGTTTGCTGACTGTCTTGCCACATGAGTGTCTAGAAACACTGGGTTTCAATATAAACTGTTTTTTGACTGTGAGATGAGCCATATATCCATTTTGACCTAGCTGGGGGCTTAAAGCAAAGCATAGTTAGGGGTGCAAAAAAAAAAAAATAAAAAAACATGTCTACTTAACACTTCTAGGATTTATCTTAACTCTTGGAGATAACATTCAGGATGCACTTTGGTGACTTGAAGGCATTTGGTAGCACTGCTGAGGCCTTGGTTGCCTTCACAAGATTGGCTTGTAAAATGTTTGAAAGCCTCAAATTATAAAGCTGTAGATCTTAAATCGGATGAAAGCCCAATTCAGTCTGTTATTTTTGACAGTATCTAAATAGATTTAATTTGGCACACAGAGTATTTTATGCCTTGTTTCGTAGAGGGCTACTGAGATAAGAAGCCATCAGTTATACTTCTGACAAGTTTCTGTGATGGTTAGAGCCCCATGTTCATGAGCTATAAAATGGAATAAAAATGATTGCTTATTTCACTACGTATGAAAGAAAAACAGCATTTTGCATGTGCAAGTGATTTGCAAATGATAAAAATGCATGCCTTTGAAGAAATATCCTCAAGATTCACCATCGTGTAGCAATAGAGGGTTTTTTTTTGTGTGTGTGAATTCTTTGTAGGACTTTTGGCAGTTTCACTGGCTTCTATTAACTGTCACAAGCACCAGAATGTCTCCAAATATTGCCAAGTGTCTCCTAAGGGTAGAGAGGGGGACGAAGTGGCCCTTGATGGAGGGCTGTTGATTCAGTCCTGTACCTTAGGGCTTCTGGCAGGCTCTTGGTGGTGGTAGATGACCATCTCACCCTTTGATTAGGCATGCGAGCTCTCCCACACAGGGTCTGTACTTTTCTTCAAATAAGTAGGATTTTTTTTAACCTTTAACAATGCTCCTTTCTGGGATTCTCATCTGTGTCCTGAAACAGACCTTTCACAATAGGGGCAGCTGCTTTTGCCACCACAAAGTCAATATTTGAGTTGAAAAACTTTGTCTCTCTTAATCAGCTGTGACAGATTTCTTATTAAATCTCGAGTTTAACCTGCCTTGTTCCTATCACTTACTCATTGCTCCCTGGATTAGGGAAGAAGGAATCTAAAGCAAACTGAGTTCTATATTTTGTATCTCAGTACATGGGTAATTTTTACATAACTGATGTTTGGTCATGTGCATGTAGGCATATGGATATTTTTGCAGTTAGAATGGATGCAGTGGCTCATTAAAGGGGCTCATTAAACCATCATGAAAGAGAAAAAAAGTAAATACATATATTTACTCTTTCATGATGGTTTACTCCTACTTTTATGTACATCATTTAATGCTGGTTACAATTCCATCCTTCTTGGATCCATCTTTTACCCTCTTGAAGTCATTTAATTTTGAGCCCACTCCAAGGGATGCTTTTTGCCTGCTGTAAATTTTGGTGTTCCTTAAGTTTCCTTCTTTTGCAGGTCTTTACACACATCTGACCCCTCCTGAGTATCTATTCTCCTCCCAGAATCTTAACCTCTTACTTGTGCACTGAGAACTCTGGAGTCTGCAGGACCCAGGAGCACAATGCATGTCTCCTCCATCGGTGGCAGGGACTCAGGTCTTTGAGTCATTACCACAGCTCACAGTGTGTTAAGTCTAGGTTCAGTGCTTACTACACACTTGTAGGCACTTTAGCAAAACCACCTATTATTTAACAGTCAACCCAAGCTTCACATAACCTATGGAAATTCTTCTCTGTAGCAAAAAAGCTACCACATTTAGATGGAGTATGAGACAGTTGGCCCCCAAATACCTAGCAGTACTGAGCTAGGAAGCCAATCAGCTGACTGGATCACAGAGAGGAGAGTTAGTTTTCCCTGCAACTCCATTAGTTCACAGCAGAGGGTCAGAATGACGCTGGTGAAACCTTGTAAAAGGGCATACAGTTTCTGCCATTTCCTTCATAACCCACTCATTGGTTTCAGATCTTTTTATGTCCTTGTTGCCTCTGAATAGGGAGTGACAGTTTTTCTGGTGTGAAAAACTGGCCTATTCTATGTATCAATGTAGCTTTTCCTAGGGCTATCGACAACTTGAGTCTTGGAGACATGATTGAAAACACCCTCTCTTGCCTGTTAAGTGAGCTCTCTGCAACGTCATCTGGTGCAGCTGTTCTCTCATCCTGGTTTTGTATGCACGCTGGGCCAGCCTGATCTTCACTCAGCAATGCCAGAGCTCGTCTCTCCTGACAGTCGTCAGGGGCCCGTGTAGGCGACTGCAGAGGACGTAAGGAGGGTTGTTGCTCTCTGACATGTAAAGACATTCTGTCAAGCACACTCAGCCTCACAGTGGCTGGGCTTCTGGTGTGTAAACAGAGACTGCTTAATTACACAGGTCATGTCAATTAGTGTGACCCCAGTGTTTTCAAGAAATTAATCACCTTCTGCAGAGCTCAGCCATGTTCATACTATAAGGCAGGATGGAAGAAGCCTGGTAGAAAATCTGGTAATATATTTAAATTTACAATGGATGTTTTCTTTTGAAATCCCTAGGCTGTGGTTAGAGTAACAAACTTGCTTAACTGCGACAGTGGAGACAGGTTTCATTCGGTTCTGGTGGGTGTGGGGAAGGATGGAGAAGGAGGGAAGGTGGAGATACAAACAGTCATGACACAGGGAGAAATTCACTGTGACTAAAAGAGCCTGTTTCTTCATCTTGACACTAAAAAGATGCTAATGTCAGAGGATTGGGTTAAAGCCGTGTCATGGGACTGCTTTTTAACTGACAGGAGAAAGATCATTCAAGGTGAAGGTTTAAATCCTGACCCATAGCTTCTCTTGTTGGGACTGGCAGACCTAGAGTGGGGAGGGAGGGGAGCAAGAGCTGGGTTCAGGCCCTTGCTGTGGAAGATGTCACAACACCTGGAGACTGTAGAGTCAAGTACACATTTCTGAATTCGTTTTAGGTCTTCAACAGAGTTTTCCTGTAGACTAAATTCTTAATCACATAAGTGTATACATTTTAGATCTGTGACTATGGTATGTAAGAACATAGATGTAAGGTAGAATTATTTGTTCATACATGCATACGTTCAGCAAAACATTCACCTACTGAAGTAGGTGATGAGTCTGTGTTATGAAAAAAAAAAAAGAGAGCCTTTGTTCTCCAGGTTTTGTATTCTATTTTTTTTTCATACAAGTATTTCCATGAACATTTTGAATAGCTGTCATTTGAGGAGAAACCACCTGGTTATTCATTCTAAATTCCTACCAAAAATGTGTTTTTGCAAAAAATAATGACCTGAGTTTTGACTTAAACAGGCTTTTGTGATTTTGTGAATTTGAGGAATTTTGGAGAATTTTTATTATTTGTTTAAAAAGTCAGTGTTTCTCAATCCATACATTGTAGAGCAAATTCAGAAAATGTATGCTCAACCTCTGTTGTTTCATTCTGCTTTTAAGGGCACTTACATAAAGAAGTAAATATTCTCATCTCTTTCCCCGCTGTCCCCCACGCCGTCTTACATGCCCTGATATTGTTTTGACAAACAGTAGGTCTTGCAATTAAATCCTTTACCAACAGAATGTTATG